ACTCACCATATTTTATATTGTTATGCAAGTGGTTGTAAACTGAACACCAGAGTTATATAGTGAATTGGCCCATGGTTCTCTATCAAAAGTAAATGCCGGTTTTGGGCAAAACCATCATAAAACAAGCTCATGTGACTGTGGGACACTGCAAATCAGAGGTGGTATTCTACTGATTCACACCGGTTCGGGCGAACCAGTAGTGGTGGCGGTGCGAGGTTCTGCCCACCCACCTTGATATCATTATACACACTTTGCGCACGCGCTTCCGCTACCAAACTGGTAGCGAAGATAAGAGGATTTCATGCCTGCTGCAAATGGCTGTCAATGTGGCCCAATTGTTAATGCCTGAGGTGTGGTCATGTGACTACATCAACCTGTAATTTGAAATCTGGTTTTTAAGTATCCCCCAGGTAGATCGATTGTAACTTCCAATGATCGCTAAGTGACTAAGTGATTGTAAGTTGAAGTCCAAGTCTAATGCACCATTCTAGAAATCCACCTCTAATACACCGCACCAGAGCTGTTGTGGCGCAGTGGCTGGAATGCAGTACTGCAGGCTACTTCTGCTGATGGCCAGCTACCTGCAATTTTGCAGTTCGAATCTCACCAGGCTCAGGGTTGATTCAGCCTTCCAGCCTTCTGAGGTCAGTAAAAAGGAAGACCCAGATTGTTGGGGGCAATATGCTGACTCTATAAACCGTTTATAGAGAGCTGTGAAGAAGTATATAAGTCTAAGTGATATTGCTATTGCTATTCTTTGCAAATAGCTACTGTGTGTCATTTAAACAATTTTAGTACTTTAGTTTGCAGTATCCTCTATATAATTAATTCTTTCACTTTCTATTTTTTTAAAAAAGACTGTAGGTATTCAAAGAATGAAAAAGTGGGATACATTTTCAATAAATAAGTAAATATAGCTACATTAAACATTAAATGTTTTGTTTAGTAAACTTGCAAAAATGTAGAGAAATTATGTTCCTTTAAAACTGTTTTCAAATATTTGTAAATGTCTGTAAGATTTATTTTGTAATTTGCATGAATCAGTATAATTAAACATATAGCCTTTATATTCTGCTTTGGATCTCAGAACACTATTTTGATAGTGATTTCGCATAATTTTTATAATTTGCCATCTGCTAACCCCTTTTCTTGCATTAAACAGATCTGTGGAACCTATTAGTCAAATGATAGTTGTTGCATAAAATAAATTATCTGATTCAAAATAATTCTTGATATCCCAAAGCATAAACATTATTCTTCTGAGGTTGCATGATTTAAGGATATGGGTTTGTAGCTGACAGATATTAGTTGGGCAAAACATGCTGCCTCTAAATTTAATAAAATAATTTTTAAAATGTTATAACAATATAAAAGTTACTTTTTTATTAAAAAACTGAAAAATATCTTATTTGTGGGCTGATTTGTTTTTTATAAATATTTAACTTACATTAAAACTGTTAGAAATTTGCCTGCAAAGGAAGCATTGATTGATAATCTAACTCTGACACCTCAAATATGGTATCCGTGAGCACAAAATTGTGAACTACTAGGTCAGAGTATAATTGGATCCAAATGATTTCCAAGAAAGTGAATGGATTGATTTTCACTTGCCAATATTTTTTTACGCATGCGTGTACGTGTGCGCGTGCACACATGGACGTGCTTGGGGGAGGGCTTTCTGATTCCAGTTTTTCCACCTTTATCTAACATACAATCTGCCCCTCACTAAACATGAGAAGATTCCTGCGAGTCCCTTGGACTGCAAGGCGATTAAACCATCAGTCCTAGAAGAGATCAACCCTGACTGCTCTTTAGAAGGCCAGATCCTGAAGATGAAACTGAAATAATTTGGCCACCTAATGAGAAGGAAGGAGAAGAGCCTAATGCTGGGAAAGATTGAGGGCAAAAGAAGAAGGGGATGACAGAGAATGAGGTAGCTGGATAGATTCACTGAAGCAGTAGGCCTGAGGTTAAATGGACTTCAGAGGATGGTAGAGGACAGGAAGGCCTGGAGGAACATTGTCCATGGGGTCACGATGGGTCGGACACAACTTCGCAACTAACAACAACAACAAACTTGAGATGACAAAATCTGGTAGTGAATTTGATTTCTCCTTTTTTTTTCCCCACCAATTTTTCAACAGGACACATTTTTTTATCAAGCCACTTGAGAATACAGAGGAGGGGACACAAGGAAATCATGGCTCCTGAAACTCTTTCCTTTCCTCCTTCCTTCCTTCTCAACTTTTTATTTCTTTTTATGGTATTAGTCTTAATTTCTTTTTTTCCCCTTCTTGTCCTCTTGTGTTCTATAGAGCCAAGACCAATTGCCTTTTCAAACTGCAGCACTACACTGCAGTTGATGACATACAACTGGAAGTTCTCACAACTAAGAGTCGCTTGCTTATACTGTCTGTGTGTAGAGGACTGTATACAAATTTTTGAACCATTTTTTTGACTCCTGGTTAGCTGCCTGGACAAGTTTGTGCAGTTTTCTTGGCAGTATTTTCAGAAGTGGTTTGCCATTCCTTTCTTCCTAGGATTGAGAGTCTGGCTCAGGAACCCCCATAGGCTTTGTGCTTAGGGCAAGATGAGACATTCCCCTCTCCTGGTTTCTATCCTGTTGTTTTAAACACTACACCAGGCTGGCTGTGTGATAACGTTACACAGACCAGACAGACATTTTCTGTAACATTGTGTTATCTTGATGTTTTGCAAAACAAATGCATATTGATAAATTACATTAGGAAAATGCAGAAATAAAGCAAATGAAACAGAGAGAAGGTGCAGGTTTTATATTTCCATTTATCTAAAAAAATGTTTCCTTCACGGTCTGGTTGAACCTTGGTGACTTCATTGGCAATCCTTGGAGCATTCATGGTAGCCCTATTCCCAGTCTGAGCTGATTGTAATTGTCTCTGAGATAATTCACTTGAAGTACTTTGAACAAGCCTGTTGTATCTGCTTAGTTTAATATTATTTTCCCTTTATGCTTAGTTGCCCTTGAAGAGTTTCCTCCCCCCTTCTCTTTGGTTAGTGCATTTTACTCATTAAGACGTTTTGTAGGTAATTCCATTTACTTGCGAACATGTAAACCTTTATGCAGGGTTTTTAAGTTAAACAGTAAAGGCTCGTAACATTGAAAGAATATGTAGAATCCCAAGAAGCTGCCTAAACTGATCACGCTATCTTTGTACTGTCCTTAATCACTGTCAGTGATCCACTAGAGTTTCTGGTAAGAATTTCTTCCTAGCTGAAGATACTAGAGTTAGTAACTGAGATTCTATCAATAGAAAGTGACTGTTTATAACCCACTGTAGTTTTCACTTTGTTAAGACAATATATGCATCCTTTGACTAGTACTAGGGGGTGTAATATCAGAAAAGTAAGCACCATAGTCAGTGGTGGGTTCTTACCAGTTAGGACTGGTTCAATTGGAACCAGCAGCGATCAAGGCCTGCCACGCCCCCAAACAGGTTCTCTGGGCAACGCCATAGGCAGCGTCACCTTGTTTTTCAGTTCTGCGCATGCACAGAACAAATTAAATTGCACTGCGCATGCACTCAGCGCACACACAAGCAAACCGGCAATAGTACCTGTCGGAACCCACCCCTAACAATAATTAACAGAGGCAGTTTTTAAAACCCAGCTTTTAGGAACCCAGCTTTTTGTTTTGCTATTGAACAATCTAAAAAATAAAGCCCTAAAACAATCTTAAAAAGAAAACAGAACACAACAGTACAGAATAGAATAGCTTTATTTGGCCAAGTGTGATGAGTCACACAATAAATTTGTCTCTGGTGCAGAAGCTCTTAAAGAAACTTTAAGGTTAGAGCATAGTCTAAAAGACATCTTGCTAAGAGTCCACAAAAATGGAATGAGAATTATATTAAGAAATACTTAATACCTTTTTATTTGCCTAACATTTGGGACAGAAGAAAGAAGCTCCATGCAGCTTCTTCTGAAACCAGATAATTTTGCTGTGTTGCTACGTTGGTGCTTGGGATTTATCAATCATTTCAAATCTCATATTTTAGTTCTAGCAGATCCTGATTGCAAAGAGGGTGAGAACAAGCAGTTATCCAGTGGGCAGCCTCCTTTCTTGATGGTGCACAAATTGAAATTATTGGGCTATGAAATTATTGGGATATTATATGATATAATATCTCTTTAAATCAAAGAAATATTAGTATGGCAGGTTGCTGGGCTGAAGAATATCTTTCAAATGGTATCCAACATGATTTGCTGCATTTCACTTATATCACTGAAACCAATAAAAAAAACATCAGCCGAAGGAACAAATTTACTACCTCTTAGGTGGTTGGAGAACTAGATTTGATTTGGAAATTCGAATCTAATATATAGTTTTGCAGGAGATGGTGTCAACAACAGAGTCCATGACATGAATCCCAAAAGCTTCAGATTTAGTCCCTTGCTGTTTGCACAGTAATTAAAAAGGACCAGGTAACCACTGATAAGAAAATTTCATCTATTTGGATTTTTGGAAGGCTGAGTAGATAATTGAGCCTTATAGCCTGACCCAGGATGTAGCAGTTGCCTTGGTTTTTCTATAAACAGTTGATTTCACTTAAATCTTGGAGGTCATCCAGACTAGTAATTTGAAGTGTAATCCAGCCATCAGTGTGGCGATATAAAACATATCTCATTAGTAATATATTGTTACAGCAGTGGCTGGAATGAGGCTTATAAATTATCAACCTGAAGGAGTTCATAGTTGCAAGCTATATATAATTGACTTTATTACTCATTCAGCATTTTTTTGCATTTTCTTACAGACTTAAACATTTACTAATGTATTGGGTTCGGATTGTAAATACAATGCAAAATATTGCCTTTAGGATTATGCCTTTTGTTCTTTTTTAATTATTTTTTTTAAAAAAAGCATCTAGTATTAACATGTAAACAGAAGGCCTTTGTGCTTCAGACTGGCTGTGATATGTGCGTTTTTGTTTTTCCCCCCCTTTTGTTGTTGTCAATAGAAAAGATTGATCACTGGACTGGTGAACGTAATAGCTGTCCCAGTCAGAAAAGGAGAGAGGAAAATGATATCTGTCAAAAGAAACACTTGGAGAGCACTGAGTTTAGTAATAGGTGACTGCCGGAAAAAAGGGAACTTTGAATTTTGCCAAGGTAAGGAACAGATTTGTAATTCAACATGCTGTTTTTGAGAAGAAAAATAATGATTTTTTTTCTTGTTTCTTAACTGTGTTTAAATCTCCTTGTTATCTTATATATGTTTTCTGTTCCTCCTAAAGTATTTGGTATCTAACATTATTAAGCTTTTGGATTGTAGATGGCAAACTTAAGAAAATCCATAAAAAAACATGCCCCATTTACTTTATCTCAAATGAGTGAAACGCCCAATTGAGGGGAAGAAGACAGATATGTAATGAACAGATACACTTTGTCCCTGCTTGCAATTTCTTCCCCTCCAATTTTGGATTTAAACTTCAACAGTATCCATATACAATCAGACTTTCTCTCTATTGCTTCTTTTCCTGTGCCTCCCTCCCCCCCCCCCCCGCAAATCCCAGTTTCCAGCATTGGCTAAAGAAAAATAAAGGCCTAAGCAGGGTTTTAAATGCACTTCGTTGTGGGAAAGAGCCATCAGGTGTAGTCTGAGCAGTATATCTTAGCATTCTGCTGATTTGCTTTTAAGCCAAACTATAGATAAGTGTGATATCCTGATGCAATCAAAGTTTAAGCCTGTGATGTTAGGTCCTCTCCCCAAGGAACAAAAAAGATGAGAGATTGCAGGAGAAAAGATGATTATTTAAGCTATTCTTTGCTTAATTTTAAGAGCTGTGGTGTCACAGTGGTTAGAATTCAGTATTGCAGGCTAATTCTGCCAATTGCCAGCAGTTCGATTTTTACCGGTTCAAGGTTGACTCAGCCTTTCATCCTTGCGAGGTCAGTAAAATGAGAACCTAGACCTGTGATGGTGAACCTATAGCACGGGTGCCATAGGTGGCACGTAGAGCCACATCTGCTGGCACGCGAGCTATCAGCTCCAATACGAATGCACATGAATGCTGTTAAGTTTGAACACCCCTGGGTTTTTTTTTCTATAGGGTTAGGGGTGCAAGGGTCTTGTAACTTGACAGCTTTAAGACTTGCGGACTTCAACTCCCAGAATTCCTCCTCCAGTCCTCCTTAAGTCCACAAATCTTAAAAGTTTCCATGGTTGGAGCCCCCTGTTGGACAGCTGGCCTCGGCCCCCCCCCTCTGCTTGCCCTGCCACTGGGCACCATCTGATACTTGGCCTTCACAAAGTGGCCTCTTTAGGTGGGGGGGGGGGAGATTTCCTGGCTGCC